GTTGAAGTATAAACATGTGGGTTTTAGTGCAATGATTTCCAAGCTATAGTTGCCTTATGCTTGGTATCATTGCGTCATAAAAATTATAGTTTATGAGGATAGCATGGTTGGTAAGTAACACACACACACACTCTTTCTCTCTCTCTCTCTCTCTGATATTCATAAGTACTCCTTTGTAACTTGAATATAGTGAGTTTTGTATTGTTTTTAAAGTTATGCTACTACTTTTATTTGTTATTTTTCTGGTGGATTGCTGACTGTTTTGTCAACCCCACAATTGCTGGTTCATTGTCTACTTTTCCCCTAGTTTATATTGTATACCTCTTTAAACTTCCTTTAATTTAGTTCCCTTTTATTTGAAATTGGTAGAACTGAGCCTGTTTGTTTGTTGAGGGCATGAAGGATGTGGCATCAATAGACTTGTGTGCTCCAAATGAATCTGAAAGTTTTCTTAATCTTATTGTATGAAGCATCTTTTTTTTTTGTGCAGGAAACGTTGAAATCCAGTTTGGAAGCTTCGGTGATCCCTGCCTTTGAGATGTCATGCAAAGTTTTGTTTGAGCAAGTTGATGCTACATTTCAGAAAGGAATGGTTGACCACAGAAGTGCAGCTCAGCAGCAATTCGACTCTGCACATTCATCATTGGCTCTTGCTTTAAGAGTATGGAGTCCTGGCCAAATTTTATGAGATAAAAACACTTTGTCCAGTTCTGCTGCTAGTTTATAAGGGTTCCCGTTTCTTCTACTTTGAATACTGTGTCATTTTGAACATTCATTACCCAGTCATCTGACGTATGCTACAACACCGACAGCCTTTTTTTCCATGATCACTTTTAAGGACCTGTTAATTGTTCATCTGTCTTCCCATGTTTTTTCTGCTTTCTTGGGTTAATATATGCTATTTATATGATTTCTGATATATGATGTTGAGCTGACTCATGCAGGATGCCATCAATTCAGCATCAACTATGACGCAAACTCTAAGTGGTGAATTGGCTGATGGTCAAAGAAACTTGTTAGCCCTTGCATTTGCCGGGGCAAATGCAAAAGCAGTAAATCCGTTGGCTAGCCAGCTGAGCAATGGAGCTTTGGGTGGTCTTCATGAGAAGGTTTGTCCTATTTTTCCTTATTTGTTAGAAATTCTGCAAGCAAGCAATAGCCTTTTTTATTTTGTTGTCCATTGGACTTCAGCTGTCAAAAACAACACAACAAAAAAAAAAAAAGCCATTCTGATTCAGTGTTTATGTGTTCAATAGAATGAGCCCCCTTTGGATCCAACTAAGGAGCTATCTAGATTGGTATCTGAATGCAAATATGACGAGGCTTTCACTGCCGCTTTGCAAAGAAGTGATGTTTCCATTGTATCCTGGTTATGCTCTCAGGTATGTTTATGTGTACTTCATTTAATTTGGATAACTTTTATACGGATTGTGTGGGCTTGTGGCACTACTAGACTTGATAATGATTTCTGTTATTTTGAAAATAATTTCCAACCAAAAAAAAATGAGGAACAAAAACAAGAATATGACAGCCAGCTGTGGCATGAGCTATCTATACTTTTGGTGGGGGACCGTTGGGTGCTACCATTTCTTGCAGAATAATTTGAGAAGGAAACTGTCATTATTCCTTTAGAGAACAAAGGCTCGTGGTCAATGCTTGACAACGATAAACTGCCTTATGAAATGCACTTGTTCCTCTATGGTGGATGATTTGATGTGGTCAAGCCTTTCATTGCAGCTTATGGCTTGCGCTTGAGATCGTGGTCTCAATTCCTGGTGGACTTAATCTTGGAATTCTGATTGGGGTTTGAAATCATGATGGACTTCAGTTAACTTCCAAAAATTAGCCATCTTCTTGGCAACTTCATTGAAATTCAGACTTACATTTGCCTACAATAAAATTGTTCCTTCGCGTTCCAGTTTTCAACTCATCCTATAGTTATACTGGAATTGTTACCAGAATTCTTCAATGAACTTTCCTACTCTTGTATGCTGACTTGGTCATATGTTCAATTCGCTGTTTCCATCTTCCACCAGGTTGATTTACCGAGAATCTTGTCTATGAATCCCCTACCTTTGAGCCAAGGAGTACTGCTATCACTTTTACAGCAGCTGGCTTGTGACACCAGCAAGGATACTCCCCAAAAACTGTCCTGGATGAGGGACATAGTAATTGCCATAAACCCAGCTGATCCAATGATAGCAATGCATGTGCGTCCCATCTTTGAACAAGTCTATCAGATACTAAACCATCATCGTAGCCTTCCTACTACTACTGGTGGCGAGGTATCAAGTATCCGTGTTGTCATGCACATTATCAACTCCATGCTGATGACTTGTAAATGATTCCTTTTCGATAAGAGAGATAAGACATGAATAGGGTATGCCAACAAACTAGAAAGGTTTGTACAAAGGTGTAGTAATTTGTTGGAAGGATACTAAATTTGTAGATTCAAACTTTCTTGTAATTCTTCATCTTTTTTCTCCTTTTTTTTTAACCCCCCGAGGTTCAAGTCTGTGAAATAGTTGGATTGGGGATTTGAGTTTTTCAATTTAGTATTTGTTTGAAGTTTTTGGTGGACGAGTTAANACCCCCCGAGGTTCAAGTCTGTGAAATAGTTGGGCTGGGGATTTGAGTTTTTCAATTTAGTATTTGTTTGAAGTTTTTGGTGGACGAGTTAATGTTTTCTCCAGGTTTATGACAGAACTATGTATTCTTCTCATTTTTTGCTTTTTCTGTTGTTGTCACTTGTAGAATATGAGGTTCAATTCTTTGTTGACTGTTGGCATGTCCGCCCACAGTATTATTTTTTTTGTGCAGTACGACCAGAGAGAGTGGGGTGGCACATTCAGGGGCTTATNGGAGGTTCAATTCTTTGTTGACTGTTGGCATGTCCGCCCACAGTATTTATTTTTTTTGTGCAGTACGACCAGAGAGAGTGGGGTGGCACATTCAGGGGCTTATTTTGATGTATAATGTGGGCCATGTGGTATGGCCTTTCATGGTGTCGTGTTGGGCATGTTAGTGGTTGGAGAGTGTTACAAACATGAACCCTAACTCATAGGAACGTGGGTTTGATTATGGTATTAAAAAAATATTTTTTTGATATTTTGTCTTCATTTTAGTTCAGGTGATGTGACAAGTGCAAGTTAATTTTAGTGTGTTAACAAAGAAAATTTTCTTATAGATATCCGTAGTTTTGTCGTTAATATAAATTAGTTCAAACACGCTTGCTTGCCTGTTGTTGAGCAAAAAAAATTTTGGAATTGTGTTAGTGCTGAGTGTTGACTCATATNGGTAGTTTTGTTGTTAATATAAATTAGTTCAAACACTCTTGCTTGCCTGTTTGTTGTAGAGCAAAAAAAATTTTGGAATTGTGTTAGTGCTGAGTGTTGACTCATATTGTTACTGCCTGTTGTTTGGTGATGATGGAGGGTTAAATATCTGTTTTTTTTTTATTTTAAGATCAAAAAAAAAAATTAAAAGAGAGGAAGGTTTCAAAGGAAAAAAGCGCCGGCGGCTGCCGAGGATTGATTGGTCAGCAATATTGATATGTGGCTGTGATTAAGAATAGGGCAGATGCGGAAATTCTCTGCAAATCAATTGTGAGAGAGTGCTGTCTGTTGACTGCTATATGTATGTACATTTTTCTAAGTACAAATTTTCCAGATCGTAGCATTTTCTGTGGAATTTGACTTTGAATGATCAACTCTGTTTTCTTCTTTGATGTCATTTAATTTTTTTTTTATCACAAGATAACTAAAACACTTTTACTTAAAAACAAAAATGCGGTGGTCTATATATAATCTATGCACACACTCAAAAACTATCCGATATAAAATAGTACCAGCCCATCATCATGTAGGCCCAAAAGCCTACGCGATCTTAGTCGAGTTTCGAGGGTTGCAATTAAACCCACATGGGACACACCCTGGATATAGATCTATTTTTTTTTTATCACAAAAAAATTATAATATTTTTACTTAAAAGTAGAAGTGAGACAGTCTCTATATAACTCATCCACACCTGAAAACTATCCGACATGGGATAGCCCCGTGCCATTTAATTGAAACAGCATGAAATCAATTCCAATTCTCTTAAGACACAAAGAGATCTTGCAACTCAGCGGCCATGCTCTGTAGGCAAGGTACATTGCTTCTTAACTGGCAGTCATATCTCTCACATGACAACTAGTGCAGACCCTCTTCAAAGAAGCTAGAATAGGCATAGGGTAAAGACATAATGTAAAGTTTCGTTTCCTTTATTTTAATGAAAATTATAATTCGACTAAAAAAAAAATTTCCAATTCTCCTAATAGTCCGTCAAACACACAAACACCCCCCACTGCCACACAAGTTTGAGAAATTGGGTCAAAATCAATCCTAGCGTGACGCAAGTGCATATGGGAGGGATCCTCATAACGGTAACACTACCGTACTGACCCGTCTGTTAATTTTGCCTATCAAATTTAAAATTCATGATATTTAATTATTAATTAAAAATTAATAAAAATATAGATACAACGTAATTTTTTTTGATCAAAAAATAAAAATTCAACACCGAAAAAATATTTTCCAGTGGCATAATGCTTCCCATTCTATGAAACACGAGCTCTTCATTGGGATCAATATATCCATTAAATATCGTATCAAATAAAATACTTATAGGTATATCTCTTATCGATATATTAGTCTTAACCTGCACTTGAAGGCACGATAAAATATAAAATTCGAACGTTCAAAAAATCGATTCCACTATATTAAATTTTTTCAAAATATATTAACTACAAATTAATTAAATATTAAATAATTAAATATATGATAGAAATAAGTGGTATGATTTGTAGGGAAAAAAATATATATGTGATAGAAATGAGTTATGTGATTTGACGTTTGAGTCTGATAAAAGGATGATAGGTGAGGTAAGTGATTGGTGACGATTTTAAGAAAAAAAATCTGACTGAGATAAAATTCAAACACACTCTTGTTTTATTATATAAATTTTTGTATATTGTATATGGTTTCTTTTAAAGAATCGAAGAATCGAGTGTGAAAATCCCTTCACACTTGCTGAATGCTTTTTGACATTCCCCATCAAAAACAAGAATTCGGAAACAAAAACAAAAAAGATTTGTATATACTCATTTCCTGATGGAGAAAAAAACCAGATGCACCCAAAAAAAAAACAGGAAGCAACAGTTGAGTATTTACATGAGTTCTCTACCCTTGGCGTGGCCACATCAATATTATATTTGGGTCCTGTCCTATTCACTACCAACACTGATCCGTCTCCCATCTTCGGGTCGGGTAGTACCCAGATCGATACGGGTACCCAACAGGTGGCCCTCGTGAACCTATACTAAGCTTCAGGTCGTAAACCGCCTTGGCCTCCGGATCAGAAAGCGTGGCGTATGCGTTGTGAATCTCGATGAAATTGCGGCCGTCCGATTCCACCGAATGAGACGAATCAGGGTGGTACATCTTGGCCAAGCTCCGGTACGCCATTTTTATCTCAATCGGCGATGCATTCCTCCTCACTCTCAGTACGTCATAGAGGCTCGCAGGAGGCATTCTAGTCTCCACAGCCGGCGCCTCGGCAACGGCTGCGTGAATCGCTGATTTATAAGAAATCCGGCCGGAAATCGACTTTTTACGGTTAGATCCTGCTGTCTCCACGAATTGTACGGTGTTTTCCGGAGAAAATCGAAGGCATGCTGCCGCAGGGAGGATTAGGGTTCCGATCATTTGGATTAGGGTTTTCGAAACGAAAGAGTAGAGATTGATTACGCTTTGGAAAAATGGAGAGAGGAAGGGTGCGTGTTTAGACTTTGGACAGAGAGAGAGAGAGAGGGGGGGTCCTTTATACAGAGATCAAAGATTGGAGTCTTGTGGGGAGAGCAGGGGCGCCGAGGGGATTTAGAAAGAAAGGAAGAATTGTGGGGCCCATCTGCGCCAACCTTTTGTTTTTTCCCCCCGTTTCGTAGCAGTTTTCCAACGGCGTGTGCAACAGCAAACAAACCTTGGGCTGACATGGCACAGACACAGAGGGAGGGAGGGAGGGAGAGAGAGATTGGTTCTAGAAAAACTGTCGCTTTCCGGCTTCAGCCGAGCCTTTAATTAATCAGCTTCAGCTTGCAAGTGGTAATAAAAAAAAATTATAGAAAGTGAAATGAAATAAAAAAATATATATATTTTCATGTATAAATTTGGTTACTATAAAAAACTTGAAAAAAAATTTTAAACAAAAATTAATCTATTGTTTGATTCCAATTGTCTAAAATATCCTTAATTCTATTAAATCAGTCTAAAGAAAAAAAATTATACATTATAATTAAAAGTTAAATCATTTCAAAGTGGCTCCTAATTTAATTATGAGACAAGTATTAGTACAAAGATCTCTAAACCAAATTCTATAGTTAACTAAATTCATATCAATTTTTTTTAAAATTAATAGAAAAAATATATTTAAAAAAAATAAGGATAAAATAAAAAGTTGTTATAAATCATAACTTTCTTATATTTTTTATAAGAAAAAAATTAATTAATTATAAAAAAATTTAAATATGAAAAAAAAATATTTTTGTCATTATTCTTATGCTAACTACACACAAATTTTTTTTAAAATTTTTGTCTTTCTTATATTTTTTATTATTATCCCGCTGCCAATACGATGGCATTCATGACTAGTTTTCCTACAAATTATGGTAGGCGTAGGCCACAGCCAAATATATTTTCAACTCCAAAAATGACCCTTCAGCTTTACTATGAGCCACGGCCATTAAAATTTATTTAATTTATGTTCATATATATATATATATATATATATATTGCAGGTTTGTATGTTATTTAATTAGATTTGTTTCAATGAATTCATTTGATAGGTCTTCTAAAACTATTAATATTAATTCTAAATTCACTTTCTTTATATAGATATCGTTTCGGAGTTATTGACTGTTTGTATCTATCTATATTGCTAATAAAACTATTTTATATGAAAAAAATTTGATTTATTATTTTGCTTTTATAAAAAATTAAGTTTTTTTATATTTAAATTAGCAATGCAACATGTGCGTTGCATGTGAAAGTTTTCGTTAAAACATTTGATAAAATACATAAAAATTTAATTATATAGATAAATTAAATATTATCTCATGTTTATCATACTTAAATTGTTGGTATTGTGGATGAATAGAAAAAGATACATGTATCAATTTTTTGACACCAAAAATGATATTATATCAATAAAGTTGTTGATGTGTATTAATATTGAGATTTTAGAAAAAAAAAAAAAGAATAATATTTTTATATATCTTTTTAAGAGTAATATGATCCTCTAAAAATTTTACAAAGATTGAGATTTACATAATATGTTAGATGCAAACTAACAAATATTATTCTTTTTTTTCAAAGCCCTAATATTAATATACATCGACAATTTTATCATTTTCGATGTCCAAAAATTAACATATGTATTTTTTTTTCTCTTTATCCACAATATAAATAATTTAAATATGATAAATGTGCGATAATATCTAATTTAACTGTACAATTAATTTTTTATGTATTTTATTAAATATTTTAACAAAAAATTTCATGTCGTATTACATTGCTAATATAGATATGGATAGAATTATCAATCCTAAATCCTAACTATGACGTGGCTTGCACGAGCCAAAGCTTCTAGACGGTTTTAGGGTCGTAGCCTTTTTTTTTGTTGGCAATTATTGAAGAAAGAGTTAGAGAGTAAAGAAAGGAAACAATAAACTAAATTCTACTCCGTCTCTTCTATTACTGGTGAATGGAAGAGAGGTTTTATCTACAAACCAGAATCTGATGACAGTATGATGGGGACACAGATGGAGATTGGCACAAGGAAAAATCATTCAATCTTATCTTTCCTTTGTAAGACTCATATAATAATAATACTATATGGTTTCATCAACTAATATAAAATTTTTTAAGAGTTAATTCAATGAATGGTGTCTCCACTGAATATAATTGATTGAGAATAAAAAATAATGCTCTGCCACTAACTCTCTTTATTTAATGTACCGTACAAAAAATAGTGTGATTTAATTAAAAAAAAAAAGAAAAAGACGAAGGATTATTGGTTGGGATTACTGACTTGTGTGATGCCCCAAGGATTATACATTATTAAATTGGAAATCATTTGGGCTAATGCACGCAACATTTCAGAGTACTGGATTTGATAGTCCCAACAGAATTCAATCCTACACTCATGCTTCAACCTTATGATATTTCTTTGCTATTAGCATTTGCTTGCACCTCAGTTTGTTTTTTGTGATTCAATGATAACAAGTGTTTGGGTCAGCTTACGCGCACCTCGACTAATCTCTTTTCCAACCCAATCAAAAGCAAACCATCTATGCCGCAACTTAAAATATTCATGAGGGATTTATCGAAGATGTCTGGATATACTGGGTAGACAAATATACGTGAAAATATTAGATTGTGGCTCACATGGTGTGTTTTTGTCAGAGTCGAAAAGGACAACATTTGGTGCCGGCCATGGTTGATAAACTAACTCTTCTTCTTCAGGAAAGTGAGTTTCGTGGCAGACATACGATGAGTCTGTGGCTTGTTAGGTACATAAACCATAGTTTTGAGAATATAATAGTAGATTAGGGAATCATATAGATCATGTCGTTTCCGTTAAAAGAGAGCCAGATGGAAACGTTTGGATGAGCCCAACCTTGTGCAGATGTAGGATTCTGGCTAAAAATAGAGAATTGCACATGGCGGTCAGTCCAACCTAATGTTTTACTTTTGAGAATTTTGGTCCTTAGTTATCAACCTTGTATTAATCTTCTCCAATTTTGTACTAATGCTCAAGAACTGCTTACAAACCAAACCTGGTTTGTTTAATCTTCAAAGATTCAATCTAATTTGAAGAATTGAACTTTCCCCACCCCATGACCCCATACCATTCAAAACGTTTTTTTTTGTGTGTGTGTGGAGTGTATAAGGGGGAATGGGAGAAGAAACTTTGGTTTGAAAGATAAAGGGTTAACAAAAGTATACATTTGAGGCATGTATGTATAATGAGATTGAAAGAATATACTAAATACTTTAATGGATCTGTATCGATCAGGTGAACTTAATCACTGATGGAATGTGTATAGAATAAGATGTGAATTATAGTTTTGCAATTATAGGATTTATGAGATGGTATGAATGGATTGAAAGTAGCCCCACTGAACAGAGTTTTCATCCCAACTCCTATTTTAATTGGGCTAGCTGTGGGAATTAGTTGGTGGGCTTTTTTGATAACGAAGGAACGTATTAGCACAATCAGGAGGCCCATCAAATATATGCTTATACTGGCGAGATTGGCTGTAAGAGTGGTCCACGCTTATCAGTGAACTGGCCGGTTCATTCTTAAACCTCACCAGAGATTTTACAGCTGCCAAACCTAGACACGGAGACACCTAAAACCTCTTAAATCTAGAGAGATGGAGTGTTTGGAGAGAGAGAGAGAGAGAACCATGCCTGGGAACAGGATTATTTCGACTCTGAGGACAAGCAAAACCCTAAATCACACATCATCATCCACATTGAGCCCTACAGAATTATCGTTANCTAGCACAATCAGGAGGCCCATCAAATATATGCTTATGCCGGCGAGATTGGCAGTAAGAGTGGTCCACGCTTATCAGTGAACTGGCCGGTTCATTCTTAAACCCTCACCAGAGATTTTACAGCTGCCAAACCTAGACACGGAGACACCTAAAACCTCTTAAATCTAGAGAGAGGGAGTGTTTGGAGAGAGAGAGAGAGAACCATGCCTGGGAACAGGATTATTTCGACTCTGAGGACAAGCAAAACCCTAAATCACACATCATCATCCACATTGAGCCCTACAGAATTATCGTTATCTAGGGTTTTGAATAACGAGGTCCCATTGCTGATGGTTTACATTTTGTTAATTTATAGTTTTGTCATAATTGGTCAGATTTAAAATGGTCAATCCTAAAGGAGGAATTAGTCAGCAAGATAAGAAGTCTCATTGTTCTGATTATACTCATTTGTGTATTAAATTTTTGAGACATGTAAGGTTTTTTTTGTTTATTATTTTATTATTTTTACAATTAATGGTTAGAAATCAAAAAACCCCAAATCTACGGGTTTTAATCAATTTTAGTATAGTACATATGACAAATATATAAAATTCACCCAAACAGATTGAGACATGAATCAAACGNATCATAATTGGTCAGATTTAAAATGGTCAATCCTAAAGGAGGAATTAGTCAGCAAGATAAGAAGTCTCATTGTTCTGATGATACTCATTTGTGTATTAAATTTTTGAGACATGTAAGGTTTTTTTTGTTTATTATTTTATTATTTTTACAATTAATGGTTAGAAATCAAAAAACCCCAAATCTACGGGTTTTAATCAATTTTAGTATAGTACATATGACAAATATATAAAATTCACCCAAACAGATTGAGACATGAATCAAACGCACAAATTGACCTATAAACAGCAAAAAGAGCATTTGTCTTCTTTAGGTCAAGAGTTCAAGTCTCTCCTCCCCCTCCCCCCAAAAAAAAACAGCAAAAAGAGATGATAAACACAACAAAAGAACATATCACTGCCATTAGCTGTATGGATAACCTATTGTAATTAAAACGGCTCCTGCAGAATTATGTCAACGAATATGAGGAAATAGCTGTTCCCAGTGACAGCATTAGAGTATCAACCCTAATCATATTAAGGTCATAGTATCATAAAAAGAGTAAACTGCAATTCACCCTTCTATTTCCAAAAGATCATGAATAGACAGCCAATCCAATCTCCATACAACAGAAGGTTACTACATAGAAAGATGTTGCAAAAATTGGAACACCACAACATACCTAACGGCCCCGTCCACGTCCACGCCCACGCCCTCTGCCCCGACCACGTCCCAAAGCCCTCCCTGAAATTAAAAGAGAAGATCATAGCCAGTAAAAAACAAGGGAAACCTACAGCCATCAAAATGTATGGAAAATGAAGCAAGAGAGAACTGTGCAATACCTGCAGTTGGCTTCTTGGGCTTGACTCTAGGTGCCTCCTCCACAAGTAAAGTTTCAAGATTTAAGCTGTCAGGAAGGATATAATAACGAATGTTGGTGCCCCTAACACTTAGATGATCAAGAGTTACAGGGTTTTTCCCCTTCAGAGTTAATTTCACTGTTTTCAAATGTGTGTTCATACTAATATCCACACCTACAATAAACCAGCAAAAAGAACAGTCAAAAAATGGGGTTCAAAATTAATGTCTCAAGTTTGTATGTGCAGCTCTTCATGTGGAAGAAAACATGACTGTCTTAAAATGGTTTCTCTAATTCGATCTAGTTCAAGATGCTTGTGGAAGGCATAAACCCCATGGCAAAAAAAATTGATTGAACGTGACAGCATGGCAGTCTGTCACTTGCATTGCATGAAATCCATACAACTAAAACCTTAACTTGGAGCATAGACTTTTTCTATAGTACAGGACTCAAAAACAGAAAAAAAGATCGAGTTCAGACAGGCCTGTGAGGACAGAAATGTGGAAACAAATATGTAAATTAAACAAAGCAGATAAAGAAGAAAAATGCAATTATGAGGATGACTGGGATCGTGCTGATAATCAACAGTGAGTCAGTGGCTACATTAGGATTTAGGAGTTTGGATTACACATTTAAAAACTTGGGCATTTCTCTTGCTCCAGAGCACAATAGTAAAAAGTCAAAAATCCAGTTCTCGTGCTACCACTAGGGCATCGTTGGGCTAGAATAAGAAGGTTCAAATGATGTACACAGTGGTTATAGGCTTTCCACCTCACTGAGTTCAACAAAATGTATTAGACATTTAGACTGGCTTCTTTTATGTGTTTCTAAAACATTGAGCTTTCCTTATAGATTTATTTGGCAAAGAGACCACATTAAAATGATGGTTCCTGTAAAAGCTCAAACTCTGAGGTTGGTAAAACATACTCAATTTTATAGCATTGAGAAGCTCACTAAACAAATTCCATCCATGAACCAGTCACAAAGATTACAGAAAAAAAAAGTGATACTTACCAATTTAGGGAGGGGCTTCTCTAGAGGGATGGGGATGCATGGAGGAGGCCGAATGGTGTCTAAATTTTCGGTTTTTATTGGTAGAGAGAAAGATTATTAGCATAGGGAATGTGTGTGTGTGAGAGAGAGAGAGAGAGACAGATGTACATAACAGTCAAAATAAATTTTCTACTCTGCCCCTGATAGAACTCACATGCTATCATTTGTGGCTGTCTCGTGTCTCAGTTTGTTTTACCATGAGAAATTAATGGAAGGGGTCAATTGTTTCAATTTTAAGAGTTGGAAGGTTAAAATTGAAAAAAAAATGAAGTTGAGGGAGCAAATTAAAACCAATGTCAAACTTCATGAAACATTTATGATGTCAAACCTCAAAGGTGTTATAGTACTGGAAGAAACTTTAACAGAGATATAAGACAATGCTCTAACATCCCANGACCTCAAACATGTTATAGTACTGGAAGAAACTTTAACAGAGATATAAGACAATGCTCTAACATCCCAAGTAAGCCAAAAAGGGGGAACACGTCAAAGAAGCATCTATCCTTAGACAATGCTAATAATTGTTTAAGGTAAAGCAGCTTCATCTATTGCAACATTGCATTGCTTGGCAAATAAATTGCTAGAAAGATATCACTCAATCACTACTAATTAAAGAAGAAAAGTAGTAAACACACTCCTTTAAAATCTATGGGGTTTAACCACTAAAAAGATGATCCAATCCTCGTGAAGCCTCCAAAAAAAAGAACCACCCTGACCCCTCCTAAGGTGGGGGGATTTTTAATGGGGCAAAAGCTGGAAAAGTGAGAAAGAGGACTGGGTTAATTAAACTAAAGCAGCCCAAACACCCATGGCATTTGCTTAGCATATACTTTTTCCCAATAATTTCTTAAACTCCACAAAAATCTAGGACAACAACAACAATACTCAAAGTACAACAAGGCCCAGGTTCTAGCAATTGCATATAAAGAATTTAAATGAATTTGAGAGAGATAGAGAGTACCAGTGATGGTGCCGTGAACAACAGTGCCGTTCTTGAGTTCGATTGAGACCGTCTCATTGTTCAATTTCATCAAAAACCTACAAAACAAAAAAAAAATCAGATTACTGCTTGGAAAACCGATCAGGAACAAGGAAAAGAGGAAGAGAGAAAAGAGGACAAACACTGAACACACCTTACGAGCTTCATTGTTGTAGGAAGGAAACGAAGAATGTGAGACTAGGGCTTGAAGCAAAAATCGTTTTTAAAGAGGTCTCAAAAGAACGGAGCGCGCCCAGGAGAACGTCGTCGTTTGTTAAAGGAATAGTTACATTGGATAGAGCTATGCACCTTGGGTTTCTTATAATTATATTAGTGCACTACATATCTCTCAGAAGTACATTATATCCCTCGTAGTTTCACACTTCCATGTGTAGAATGAGTATCATTTGAATCCAACTAATTGGACATAAGTTGTTTTGTTGATCAATAATTCAAACCCGAATCCAAATTTTTAATTCCATATTTCACCGACTCAAATTAAAATGTATGAATATCCGATTCGATTATAGTGTAGTTCGAAAAACATGTATATGAATAAAGAAATTGAGTATATATTTGATAAAATTGAACTCAATTAAGTTATTTAAATTTGATCGAAATTTTATTCAATTTTTTTCATTGCTAGTTTCAAATATAGAATGTGAAAATGAAATTTGCTCCATAATTAATTCATTGTTTTTGAAATCATATACCTTTTAGATGGTTTGAAATTTATCCTAATTTCGATCTATTTTGGGGAGAACGTGCTTTGTAAAAGGATTAGAAATAACCTTGGACATGAAAATACTCCACAATACAAACAATCGAATATTAATGGTATGCCATTTTTATTTTAAATAAAAAATTATTTATTTATTGATTTATTTTAATTAATTAATTTAAAATTAAAGTGAACTAATAGAAAATAAGAGAGATATGTGAGAGAGAGAAGAAAGAAGTAGGTGAGAATTTGTAGAATTAGTTGACTTGAATGACATTGAGGTCGTGCATAAAAGATGTTATTAAGCAGGTAATAATATTTTGTGATTAATTTTATACTATTTGATAAAAGCAAATAAAAATAATAATAATCTTAATTGTTATTTTGTGATTAATTTTATACTATAAGTTAAAATTTTAACTTCCTAACAATAATATTAAATAGAAAACCAGCATCAACGTAAGTGCTGAGTCACATGGGAACCACGGAGGGCACTTGCATCCCCTCACTTTTGGACCACCTTTGATAAAGACCCATAAAATTATTTAAATTTGCTCCCTAAAATTTCAATAATAGTTCTAATCTTTTCTTTTTTGAATAAATTAGTGATCTGATAATCCTCTAAAATAAATGTTTTATTTTTGAATTGAATATATCAAATGCAACTATCCTGATTTAATTGTATATTGACCAAAAAAAAAATATTTCTCTTTATCTAACATAAAATTCGCTATTTTTTAAGAATACTTTTTAGTTATCATTTACTATTTTTTTTAGTATATAATAGTCTATAATCTAATAAAATACGATTGTATATAAAAGATAAAACGTTGTAACTCAANTATTTCTCTTTATCTAACATAAAATTCGCTATTTTTTAAGAATACTTTTTAGTTATCATTTACTATTTTTTTTAGTATATAGTAGTCTATAATCTAATAAAATACGATTGTATATAAAAGATAAAACGTTGTAACTCAAAAATATTTCAAGTTATTTTGAATAGGAAATTTCTCTATAAGATCGATAATGATCTCAACTAATTTTTACAACTAAATGAAGAATGATTTTACTGCGAACTTGTGATTGTTTCCATTGATCGAATACTAGTGAAAAATTAACATTAACTAATATACAAAATTTTAAAGAACGTTAATTGGGTTAAAATGTATTAGAAAAATTATTTGATGTCTTTTTGTTTAAATTTTGTTTTGACTAAATAAAAATTAATTTTATTATTTTACGATAATTTTCTCTTGGTGAGTCTTAATTTTCTGTCATTCTTAAACTTAATCATTATTAAGTTTAAGGCTTGTAAACAATAGTGTGTGAGTGAATAATGAGAACAATGGTACGTGCTAAAGACAAGTCACAACACATGGATTATACTGGTTTATCAGCTGAAAATTTTGGTTAATCCGCTCTAACGGAGGATCATGTTCTTATGAGGTTTTTTATTACTTGATGAAGAAGGTAGAATTACAATTGTAGAGATTATAATTCATTTTTTTAACGTCTTTACACTGGTAATAGGGGTGGTCCTCACGTTATAATTATATGGTTTCCAAGTTTGTTAAGATTTTGTTAAAAAAATATTGTGTTGTTAAACGCTACATAACGTCACCTTCTAGAAGGAGATGGCATTGTGACCTACCATTAAGCTTGAATATGTTGTGGTCATCCATCCTTATGGAAGATCATATTACAAGGTCATTCTGCATTAGGATGACGTCTTATCGAGGGGCAGAGCCAGACTTTTTTAGTTGTGGGGGCAATTTAATTATTAGTTAATTTTGTGTCATGTTTGTAGATGATATTTAGAGTTGAAATTCAGCTTTGATATCAATGGGGTTACGATACTGAAATTTATAAACCTTGTGGGTTGTTATATAAATTTTTGAGTTTTTTTACAAAAAAGAAAAAACATAAATTCTACAAAATTATAACTTTTATGAGTCATGTTACAACTTTTAAGATTAAAGTTACAATTTTTTTTGATAAAATCATAATTTTTGAGATACTTGAAATCAATCCTAAATATTAAAATCAATTATTTTAATTCAAGATCAACTGTAAAATCCAAAAAATAGTTTCTCAGATTTATCTAAATAAAAAATATTTTGTTGTTCTTGGAAAAAAGAAATTGAATGTGATCTAAATTGATTCGTGTTGGCGCATCCCCTAACAGGGGGTGAAATTTGGGCGGACTAACCTAATTTCAACCGAGTCTAGTTTAAAAAAATTAAGGCTTGAGCTAAGATTTTTAATACTTGGTTGAACTTGAGTCAAAAAACTCCAAATTGAATTCAATTTGAGCGGACCTTAGGTTGACTCTTTGGGTTATTGGGTTGCATCCGAATATTAAAATCTAGTTCAACTCGAATATTCATAATCATATAAATACATTTTTAAGTCTAGAGTTAATTTTTTCTGAAGTCTTCATTGTGCGCTTTTTTCTGAAGTCTTCATTGTGCGCTTTCTATGTTTGTACAGAGATTCTGACTGTGTTTATTTGTGTTCTATATGGTTGTGGTTGCATTATCCCAAACATTGAGTTTTTAGTATTATGATTTTTATGTTAAAAACTTGATTGAAGTTGTTGGTTGTTAATTTAGATGAATATTATGTAATATATTGGAGAGACCTTTAAATGGTCTTGCGGTTCCTAGACTGACACGTGTGAAAATGGATCCATTGCAAAGGCCCGATAAGCGTTGAGTAGATAAGTCGAAAGATTATGGCTCGGAGAAATCGAGTACGACAATTAGCAACACATTTAATACGACTTAATTACTCATTATGGCGATATGAGTGATGGTGATCAGATATTAAAGAGCGTTTGCACCTTGAGAGCCTGAGCCTATTATCATGATGGCTAGGCATAGGTGGCTATTACGTCGAAGGTACACGTTCGACTCTCCCTGAGGAACTGTTCCCTCAAGTATTTAATGTTCAGTTGTTGGTGTCAAACACCGATCTGAGGGATGTGGGTACTCGGGGCAGGCATAAATGCTCGGCATGGAGTCGAGCACTGTCCTATTATCCTAGCATTGAGTAGGAGAAGACTTGAGTAGAGAACACTCATTTCGCAGGAGGAGGTGTGTCAAACATTAAATGTTCAGATGAGACTTTAGGTCTTGATGAGTGCTCGAAAATGCATTTTAAATACCTTATTATTGGATTAAAGTGCTAAAATATGAATAGAAATAATTAAATATAATTTATATTATTGAATTTAATATCTATTCACATTGAGATATATTTGAGCATGATTTTATAATACTTTAAATCTTAAATATTGCATTATAATTTGGTGAAAAATAATTTATAATTGGGCTTTATATTTACTATTTTAGGAATTTTATTATTGAGTTTTTATATTTATTTTTATTTTAATGGCAGTCCATGGAGTAAAAAGGCCTGTCACGTGGGCCCGACACTTATTAGTTTTATTAGGCTTCATCTTTATCAAATTGCACAAGATTTGGGTTTTAGGGGTTGGAGTAAAAAAGTTGGAATCAAGAGGAGGTGAAGTAGAAAGACCGGAGTAAAGAGGGGAAAAAATGTATTTTTTTCAAAAAGTGATTGACTTTTAAGTTTTAACCTATATATTTTTGCTTTGGAGGTGGCGACTGGCTTTTTCTTGTCCTTGTGGTTGCGAAGAAAAACAGAGACGCAGTTCAGATCAAAAAAAAAAAATACCGATGGCTGCTTTGCTCGATTTTTTTGGGGAGATTTTTGTTCCTTATCATATTTATGACTAACTAAATTCCCAAGGCGGGGATAAACTTGAACAGTAGATGATATTTTATTTATTTTTAATTTATGTAGTTAATTTTTAATTACTAAAACTCTTTTATTTTTATCAATCTCAATTTATTGTTGATATTTTTGTCTCCGAATAGTCATAGAATTTATTCTGTTTATAGATTCAGTCATACTTTTTCTATTGAATGAATTAATTCTTTAATTATGTTTGGACCAATTATTTATCTACATTGATTTAATTATTTGTTCCAATATTTACCTCTTGAGTATATTATCGTCGTTAAATTTTCTCAATAGTGATAATAATTTACGTATTTTAAAAGTGGTGAATGATATTTCAAAGTGTTATATTGAGTTTAATATTGGTTTATAAATCTATATCTTTCGATTGGAAATTTTGAGAATTAAATTCTCAATTGAGTTGTTCAATGAATTAAGAATAATTAAAATATCAGATTTGTGTTAGGGATTCCCAACGCTTTACTGTTTGTCAAATTTGAATATTTTTTCCGTTAGTCACTTTGTTTCACTTTAATTTGTATTTAAAATTAATCTTTATTATCCAGTAATCATTTAATATTTTTTTTTCTTGAATTTCTTTATTCATTCTATTATTCTTTTAATTTGTCTCTCTGTGGAATTGACACCCCAAAACTGTGCTACAATTACCGCGTTATTCTTTGGGGGTAATCAGGTCTTTAGGCAATCATTGCTAATCCGAAAATAAATACTCCTCAGAAAA